TCCCATTAACATGTAAAGTACTGCAAGAGCAAGGTTTGATAATACTTCATGCATTAACACACAAGGGAGGGCCGTGCATCCTTGCTTTTCAAACACCAAACGCTCCCGAGTGCCAAACTGTATCAGCAGAATCTTGCAAATCAGAGCTGCTTTGTCTGCTTCCTGATGAGACCCCCCTCCACTCCTCTCCTGACAGATGACCGTATTGCAGTTAGCCCATCACTGATTAATAAAAATCTCCATTCTCCCAGCCACCACCCAACTAACACATACACACTGTCAGCAAGCAAACCTTCCAGCTTGGCTACAATAGCACTGAGTGGTGAACGTCGCTCCTCTGTGAGTACCAGTGTTTATTTCATTTGTAAAACTCCAACCACTAAAAAAATGCTTAATCGCTTAATCGACCAAAGCAATTAGTAGCCAATCTCCTGAGGATTTTGCTTTGCCCCTAAACATTACACAATGGTTTATGTCAAAGGATTTGTCACCTCCTCTATGAGGCCTTCTTGGCTTCGCAAAAATACACAATAGCAATGAAAGAAAGAAAGAAAAAAAAAACATCCTCCATTCCTCCGCTGAGGATTTGAGAACTTATATAACTCCCAATTATCAAAACTTCTCCAGGCAGCCTCACAGCCCTCTGCTCTGTTTATATGACTCACAAAATAGCTAATACTCAACTGTGTATAATGCCAGTGTGGCCACATGACTGCAGCAAAGGCTCTCGTGCTTTCTGCCCCACTGAGTCAGGCATAATGGGTGTCTTGAAGGCTCCAGGCTCAGGCCAGCAATGCTAACAAAGCCTCGGTGGCTTGCAGGGAAGAGCATGTCTTCAAGCAACTTGCCAAAAACTCATTTTCAGGAGCACTCAGGGATTTCTGCAGGATACATGGTAACGCCATGACATGTCTGGCTTTAGATATCATGGCATAAGGAGGATTTGGAGGATGCAGCGTGTGTAAAGAACCAATCTAAATGATGTGAGATAAATATTAATTTCATATTTAATGGTAAGTTAATGGTTTCATATTTAATGGTAATGGTAAGACTTTTTTTTTTAGATCAGACAGGAAATTCTTCACCTTTTTAGAAAAATTATCAGTAGAGTTCAAATATAAAATAAGTAATTTAATATATACTTGAGTTAAAGCACACTGCTTGCACAGCTGACGTCATTTCTCTTGAAACTATGTGCACTACACTTCACAAAAGGACTAATAAATACAGAATACTAAATTCCAAATTTATATAATTCAATTTACCATGTCAAACAGCTGCCATTTTCTACTGGTGTCATATCATATACCCCTGTCTTAAAACTGAAATGACATCAGTATGAAACATTTTCTGTATAAATTAATTGAGAAAAAGGATTAGAAGTGGGACATTATACTTTATAAAGTCTGCTCTGTCTCACTGACCAAGTCTCCTTCACATTGTATCTTTGTTTCTTGCTCTCTCTCGCTCTCTCTCTCTCTCTCTCTCTCTCTCTCTCTCTCTCTTCTCTCAAGGCTTGACTCTTGTCTAGGCCAGCATTAATGTACCTGTTTACCTCATGGGTGGTCTTGAGACAGGCTCAAATAAAGCCCCCTTTCCTGCAGATCTAAGTGTAGAGTAGCTGCTAATCCGATTTCAGGAAACAGCCGAGTCGCCCTCTAGCTTCCCAGCTTATTTCTACACCAGGGACCGAAATGGAGGGAGAGTGCATCATTCAGCAAATATTCAAAGGCAGACTTTAGGACCACCTAACCTGTGGCTTTTATTGCCCACCCCATAATGAGGGGGGGAATATTACCTTTTCACTGCCTGTGCTTTCTTAAATACGTTCTGCCCTCACAGGGACATTACAGTGGCCAAATATAATGCCGGGTTTCATGGAGTCCAGGCTTATCTGGCCTTGGAAAGTATGTGAGACATGCCAATGAACAAAGGGCCATCTCTCCGCCAGCAAGCCGGGTGAGGGGATCTCTTTCAGTGGCCACAGATTGCCCTGTGTTCCCTTAATTGACAGACCTGGGCCGGCTGGGACAGAAATGACATGCAGCTGCCCCTGGCCCAGCACATGCAGGTAGACCACATTTCAGCACGGAAATAGTCTCTAATCCTCTATTCTGCATGTGAGTCCTCTACTCTGGCAATACATGCTTGCCTTTGCACACACACAGTCAACAAGATAAGGAAAAATTACATTTTTACCATGTATCCGGCCACGTCATACAATTCACGGTTAAATCTCACATGCAAAGAAATGCTGTAGAGCAAAGATGCCAACAAAATAATGAAATTAATGTTTCTACATTTAAAAAAATAATATACTACCGTAAAGAGCAGTAAACAGTAGTAAATGAAACAAAGTCAATATTTGGTGTGACAAAAAAAAAATTTAAATAAAATACTATAGTATATACTATAGTCTCCGGTACAGTTGGTGCAGTTTTATAATTAAATGAGCTGTAAGTTTTATTGAGCATCTTGCAGAACCAGACACGGTTCTTCTGGAGACTTTGACTGTCACACTTGCTTCTTATTTTTGCAGCAAAACCCAGCAGCCTTCATTGTGTTTTTTTGTCTGAAAAGTGTCTCTCATGTAATATACTGCATTCTTTACTAACATACAAACATTTTTCTGTAACATTTCATTTTGCGCTGTCTAAACTAATGTCTGGGAATCTAAAATGTTTTTTGCACTAATGAAGAAGTCATAAAATAACAAATTTATAACAAAGTTAAATATATATATATATATATATATATATATATATATATATATATATATATATATATATATATATATATATATATATATATATATATATATAAGCATTATCCAAAAGCAGCATCACCAACTCATATATGTTTACTTTATATGACTTTAATAAAAAAAAAAAAAAAAAAATAAAAACACCACAGTGACTTTGTGGCACGCTCTGGCGGAGTAACTCACTTGCTCTTTTCTTGCACCTGTTTTGGGGAAAGCATGGCCTCAGCTGGTCAAAGACAGGCAATGCAGAACGTTTTATCAAGCAAGCTGTAAGCTGAAGCACAGAATGACAAGATATTTTTAGAAAATGGTAAAAATTCATTAACTGATTAAAATAACTTTGGAGTTTAGCAATCATTTCAAAATCCAAAAGCACCGATATTATTTCATACCTAAAATACGTTTGTAAATCAAATAACTGCATAAATCATTATAAATGTTTTTTTAATGATTAAAAAATGTATTTTTAATTTTGAGATATAAATTTAAGTTGCCTTCGTTACGAATTAATTTCACATAGTTGACACCCAAAATGCTCATAAGCAATTCAGGGAGGAAATTATAGCATTGGAGAATGTGAGTAGACCGACTGCCAATGATTAAAAATAATAGCATAAAATCCTATTATGGGCACAAGGCCAATATTTTCATTTACATTTCCTGCATCATGTTTTTGTAGCGCAAATGCATGACTTTTCATGCTATCAACACACAGCCTATTTTTGTTATTTAATTACTTTGCTTTGTGGAACCAAGCCAAACAAAACTATTAGCGCATTTATTATTATTTATAAATGCAGAAAAAGAAAAAAAAAACTCTGATGTGCACTAAATAGTGCATGTCCATACACATCATTTGCCAGCTGACACCATCTTTTTCCATCGTAGGCCAGTGTGCATGTACCCTGATATACAGTATGCAATGGCATCAGAAGACAAGAGTGTCACTTCTGATCCCTAGTGTACTGTCAGATGTCAGCAGACCCGGGGGAGTTTGCTTTCAGCAGGGAATACATTCGGCCATACGGCATCTGTCGCTGCCGCTCAAATCAGCTTCCAAACCGCTGAGCATCACCCACACCAGACCAAGCCAGCGCTGCCACTAATGCAACTCATGGTCAGATTAAATAAGCTTTTCAGAATTTTTTGAGATATGACAAGTCATTGTTTGCTTTGGGCTTGTCAGGGTTTTTTTTTCATTTATTGCTGGATCAGCTATAACCAGTTGGTGGCTATTTCCTTAGATAAGTGAAAAAGTTCTCATTATATTTTTTTTAAAGTTGTGTTTTCTCTTAGAGTGTTTTTAATTAATAAACGTAACATGGACTGATGCCTTGAAAAGTTCACTGTAAGCTCACATGACATGCTCCAGTCAAGACTGCAGTGCACTATCCATTCCTAAATACTCCAGATAGTGAGTGTACTTGACGTGGGGCCAAGCAGACTAAGGAGGGCCACACAGCGGCGGTAACTCCAGCCCTAGAGAGAGGGCGAGATAAGAGAGTCCCATCTCAACCCTGCCTCGCCGTTACCTGAGGAACGTTGCCGAGTCAATAAAAGCCCTCTTGTGTCTGTCAGAGCTCTTTCAGTGCTCCGTTTGATGGCCCATCATCCCGCTGCTGCTTGCTGATGACCTTGATCCCACACTTAGCCCAGTGTAGCAAGAGCCCATAAACATGGCCTAAAGAGTCCAAGCTCTCAGCTTCCTAACAGCCCTGTATGTTACAAACAAAGGTAAATAACACATGGCTGTGAATGTGAGGGGGTCGTCTGCTCTCAAAAGATGCCTTAAGGGACTACGTTTACATTACCAGCACCTTAACATAGCAATGAAAGAAAAAACTACAGCAGTTCTACTATACTATAGGAGAAATCTAGCCTATGTATATTACATGGATTGTGTAGGGTGTCAAAGAAAAAAAATATTTTTTTAGTGATACATATCTCAAATTGAATGGAACGTTTTGTTTTAATGGAAATTAACATACTGTGTGTAAATGATGTGCTGGGAAACTATTGAGTGAAATAATAATGTGCAAACTCTAAAAACATAAATGTCGAAAAGGAAAATATCATTAAAATGTTGTATTTCGTACCAATAATTTCTTTTTTCATTTATTTTTTTATGGCATTTGGCAGATGCCCTTATGCAGAGCAACTTACATTTATCTCATTTATACATCTGAGCAGTTGAAGGTTAAGGGCCTCGCTCAAGGGCCCAACAGTGACAGATTGACAGACCAGGGATTTGAACTCACGAGCTTCTGAACAGTAGTCTGACGTCTTAACCATTGAGCTACCACAGATCTGTTTTCTCTCAGTCTGTTTACTAAAGAGCACAAATCTCCTGAGTGAGTCCTAGCTTTGTGAAGAGGTATCGTGTCTTCTCTACTGGCTCCTGCAGTCCTCTTAGAGGAGTGACGTATGTCTCAAGAACATAAAATGTTATTGCAAGTTCAGTGGAGCCCTTACTGCGACAACAATAGTCGTCACCAGTAAAGAGACTGTGGCTCTAGCACGGGCCAGTGAAACTAAAAGAACATAATGGAGATGCAGTAATAACATGGCCCTGACAAATAACAGCAAAGTCAAATGGATCTTTAGGGTGTGCCAATACTGGCAAAGGGCAGTAATTAAAAAGGAGCTTTTTAGATAATATTTATAGAAACTGTTTGTATCTGGTAATAATATTGTGCACAGAGCTAGCAGAAGAGATGCATGCTCGGTTTAAATCAAGAGCATTATTATATTTTTAACTACAATTGACTTAAAAATAAAAACAATTTGGTCTTGAACAAAAAAAAATATATACAGTACTGTGCCCCTTAGCCACCCGATTTCATTTAGTACAAACTTTGTTATGGATTTATTATTTTATGAATTCTACATTATCGAGTCAGTATTAAAAATCATTTTAGATTTCAAATCATTAGATTCCCAGCACAAAATGAAATGCTACAGAAAAATGTTTGTATGTCAGTAAATAAAACAGTATATTACATGAGAGACAGTTTTCAGACAAAAAACACAATGAAGGCTGCTGGGGTTTGCTGCAAAAATAAGGAGGAAGTGTGACAGTCAAAGTCTCAAGAAGTATCGTGTCTGGTTCTGCAAGATGCTCAATAAAACTTACAGCTCATTTCCTTATAAAACTGCTCTAAATGTATTGGAGACTACTTTTTTTTTTAAAGAAAAGGGTCGTCACACCAAATATTGAGTTTTTTTTTTTTATTTCTGTGTACTGCTCTTTATAGTAATTTTGTTTAAATGTACAAAACATTTCATTTCATTATTTCTGAAGGCATCTTTGCTCTACAGCATTTCTTTGCATGTGCTAATGCTGTATGATTTTGCTTTCTAATGAACAGTACCAAAACACCTGCTCTAGCCATTCTCAAGTCTGTGAACAAAGTATTATCCCTACTCAATGCCAAATTCAGTTCATATTCATCTCATCCTGGCAATGTGCTGCACTAGTATGGATTATTTCACACAATAGCTTAACACACAGTCAGAGTTTCACACTCCTACTTTACACCTCTTATGACAAACATACCGTAAGTGAATTAACAGTAACAGGAGTTACACCCACTGTTAGAATGCTATAAATAAAAAAAGGCATTTTAGAATAAATACTACTACTATAACAACTACTATTACTATGAAAAATAATAATAACAATAATAAAGAAATATCAACCATTATAACTACTTATCAAGATATACCTACACCTCAGTGGTAGTAAGCTGCACTGCAAGCTATAAACACATCCATGCATTACTGAGTGCTTCTTGATACCCGTGCTCATCACTATAATTTTCCAACTATTGGCCACTGATTGCATTTCAGCCCAGAGGTGAACATTACATGCTCACTTAGCACCTGAGATCACGCAGGCCGCTGTGTCTTCCCCTCCAGTGAGTACTTGGCAAAGCCAGACTCTGTGAACTCAACACACACCATGCAACATCGACCACAGACAGCCTCCAGTGAGTGAGAGATTCTGCTAACAAATTGTTTGTGGGGTAAATACACAAAGCCTTTTACTGCATTCAAATATGACAGTCTGACTGACTGTGCACTCAGGGGGGAGGGGGGGGGACAACAATGGGGGGGGACCCCCACAAATAAAACAATATTAATTACAGTAATAAAACCTGGTAATAATTATGGGTTTGGGCAAATTGTACTGCACCAGAGTGCAGTTAGTGTGTCTGAGAGGTGTTTTGTGTATTCACAGGCAGTGAATGACTTAACCCTGCCATCCAGGGGTGAGAACACAAAGGCATAGGCACCCAGGGTCCGAAACTATACACTTTAATAAAGTCACAAATGGCTAAATGAGGAGCTGTGATCGCACTCACATTACCAACAACAAGGGCTGCACTATGCCTCAAGGAGTTTTGTTTTCCACAAATATGCTAAGCTAATACAGACCTAAAAACACAGAAACCTGATCACGACTTGGGTTATTCAGGTTTTAGCTACCGCACAGAGACTTTTTCCTCTTTCGCTCTTTTAGAACAACATCAAGAGCTCAGGGTCCTCTGTGGAAACCAAGCTTAAAAATAGCCTCTGCATACTAACCTGAAGTAAAGCAGCTCAGCAGCATTAGTTACAAGTGTTCAATTTTCTGGTTCAGCTTAGTTCGAGGCGGTTTGCAAACTACTGCCTATGCCGTTAGAAGTATTTCATTAAAGAGCTAAATATCTTCTAACGTCTTTCCTGATTTGGTGCCAGGACCATTGCTATATGGCAGTTGTCTGTATCAGGAAGAGAAAGATGGAAAAAAATGAGGAGAGGAAAGTACTGAGGGCACGTACATATGTATATGTATGTGTGTGTGTGTGTGTGTGTGTGAGAGAGAGAGAGAAAGAGAATGCAAACTTTGGAGAGTCTTCTTTTGGGCCTCCAATTTGGACACAGAGAGGTCGCAACCTCCCTCTTTATTTTTCCCAAGGCTGTTGGGCTAATGAAGTAACAACAAACTAGGCCGCCGGCTAATTTGGAGTGGCATTTCCTGGCCCCTCTTGGCCCACGGAGATGTGTTTCATTTTCTCTTATCAGTGTTTCAGTCATGTGGCTTTCTGCATGGACGCCCTTGTCTCCCCCCATCGTTGGCCTAATGGAAACTTCGTTAATGTCATTAATCTGCCGACTAGGACAAGTACTAAACATACATCAGCCTGTTTGTACCAGCTTTGCGAGAAAACGCCAGGGGCTGTTTAGACTTGAACACCACATAAAGATACACAGAGGTTTCATTATCTTTACCAGGCTACGCAGCAGCAAAATTGCGCAGGACACGCATTAATCAAGTTATGTCGTGATTCTTAACCAAAATGTACACTACATGTATCTCCTCCTCATCATTTTTGCTTGCGTATACACACTTACAACCCAATAAACCGTAATTGAAAGTTTGATGAGAATAACACGAGTGATCACTAGCCAGATAACGCATGCAGAGCCTGTGTGAATCTATGAATGTCACCACTCGGTTCTGAAATTGGAAGTAAATTGAATGTTCAAATTGATGGCTCGACTAAAATAATCAAGTAACTGCTATGCCAGCAAATACTCCACTTGTCCATCATGTGACACAGACAGTAATAGGAAAAATCCCGGAGCCTTAGACAGAAGCCTTTACACATGATAAACGTTATATATAAACAGCACACTATAAATAGAATACAAAAACAATGGCAAACATGTTACACATGAGCAAGTTATATTTTTCCCCTAATTCTGTCCGAACATGTGTGAGGCTTGTGTGGTAGCTGTCATGTTGACCTCACATAAAGAGATGCTCTGTGCCCTCCTCAAATCAAAACAGAGGGCCTGCATAAAGCCACTTTAATGATGAGTCAGGCAACTCGGAGAGGTCTCTCTAATTAAGAGACTTCATTCACACATTCCCTCCACTCCATGAATGGACACTCTCAGGCTGACATGTCATATAGCTCCATTCATAGCAAGCAAAAACACGGGGGGAGCAGAGCTCAGCTGGGAGGAATGGCCAACCAAGGGGACATTTTCTTTTGTGTGCCGCTAAGCTTCTGGGGCCAAATGCCAGCAGGCTTACCCTAGTGCTGACTGTCCATGTGTTTCGCCTTTCTCCCACATGGAGTAATTAGGAAGATCTTAATGGGTTTCCAGGTTTATTAGTGTCCAAAAAGAGCTTTGAATGTCACTTTAATTAAGGGGATTCTGAAGACAGCTTGTGTGGCAACGTCGTTCTGAAAAATCCTTGTCTGGGCACAAGGGGAATGAACAGGCCAGGCCCTCAATACACACAAAGATACCTAAAGTCCTGAAAGAAGGCTATCTAGACCCATGGTCAGGCAAACTAGATCATTTGACCTCGACAGAACATTAAACTGACAGCAATTATTGGCTTAGCATGACACACAGGCGTATACGATTCCCTCCTTTCATATCAGCATCGGCAATCCTACTCCAAAAACCCTCCCATTGAAAAAACGCACTCCCAAATTATTTTGGAGGATAAATTTATTCCTGGCATATCCTATGCTCGTTCATGCAGAATATAAAATCCTAGATTATTTCTTGCTTGGTTAACTCGCATCCGGTCTCCTCGTTCACAAAGCCACTCTAATGTTGCCATTAGTTATGCTTCTCTGGTGGCCAAAAAATGAATCCTGAGGTCCTCGCATACAATATATGAATGGTGGAAGGAGATAAAATATATCACAGAGATAAAGAGGCCAGTTCATTGCTGGAACATCAGAGTGCAAGATAATTAATCAATATGAAAATGACATGACTGTTAAATGTGCAGCTCGAAAAAGCCTCTCATATATTTTCCCCCCTAAGACGGTGCTCCAACGTTAATAATTCTACAACGATCGCTCCCTTGAAGATAATATAAAATGTTTCACATAAAGACATTTTATAAAGGAATATAGCCTGTTTTAATAATTAATTCAGTGGAGAAAAAAAAATACTATGCACTATAATGCTATTTAAATTTAATCCCTGATTCAATCCCTGAACTGTTCATTCAAAGATTCATGCACAAATGTCCAAACTTTATGTTAAGGATATAAGAAAGGTAACTAAAATATTCAAGTTATTGGTGAGACCTGGTGAAAAATCTAAATTTTTTATTCAAAGCTTCAAAGCAACTAGTGTTTCGTTGAGCGAGGAAAGACAACATGTCAGAGTTTTATGGCACAGGTGTGTAATCGTATGGGCTGGGAGCCTAGAAAGGTGATCTGATAATTGGCCACAGGGGAAACAGCTGTGTGTCTAGGGATTGTCTGTAGAAGATAAGGGACAGGAACTT